GGAGTCGGTGCATAAGTTGCCAAAACTTAGGCGATTTGAGTTGCAAACAAAATAACTGTTTTATACCAATAGTTTTGATTGATATTTGTTTTTATTGCTAATAAAATACTGTAATATAAATACTAATGAATGTGAATTTAAATGTTTAAATTGATTACAATGATTAAAATAGTGTTTCTAAATATTTGTTAACGATTCACACAATTATAAACGATTTAAATTTATTTTCTTTTTGGTTTATCGGAATAAATAATTTTCTCAACTACTAAATAGTATATATCTGTAACTTATTGTTAATTTTACTCAGTTTTCAATACAATGTAACCAAACGTTTAATTTATTAATTGTATTATCGATTAAATTTTAATTCAATTCAATTGAATAGAAATTTGTGGCAAATATTGTGAGACGTTATTAGTGTTGAGACTATTGTCCGCAAAATGAGTGCATTTTTGAGCGAAAATTGATTTCAAAATTGATTTCAAAATTGATTTCAAAATTGATTTCAAAATTGATTTCAAAATTGATTTCAAAATTGATTTCAAAATTGATTTCAAAATTGATTTGATTTTTGTTTTCAATATATAATTGACTTTTGGTTTGAATTCACGAAACGATTGAATGAAGTGATGGCTGAAGAGGAAGACAATGAATGCCAACAATTGGTTAAAAGGGTTTGTAATTGATATGACTTTCGTGTCAATCACTCATTCATTACATTATTTTGCATTCATTTCACGTGTTTATAGCCAAAGATGTCATCCTTTCATATGATGTCCACTGAAGAGGAATGCTATCGGAAGGACTCTTTAGACAGATATGGCGACGACTTATGCGAAGAGATATTGTCTTATCTGTCACTCGAAGACTGTTTCCGATTTGAATGTCTGTCCAAACAGTGGAAGCGATCGGTGTTTAAGAGACAACATTCTTCTGGTTAGTGAAGAGTTACTGAAGAAGTCGAGAGTAATAGACAACTCTATGAACGAAGACATCAATAGAAAAGCATTGCTATCAGTGATCAGCAAATGTCCGAACATTAGATCCTTTCAAATGACAATCACTTGAAAAGCAACGGAAGAAGTGTTCAACGAATTGATGAAATCGTTGAGACATCCGTTGAATGCAATTGACATCCGATTCGGTAATGAAATTGATGTCCAAATAGTGGACACTATTCTCTGCAAATATGGCCACCAATTGACTTCAATATCAATACCAGATTCGGCTGAAAAAGTGTTTAAATCCCACAACAAGTTATACACAAGACTTCGATGTCTTTCCGACATTTCTTTAAGACCTCTTCCATTGTCTATACTTTTCAATGAAGACAATGAACTGATGGTTAAGAGTTTGACGCAATTTAAATGCAATTCTATCGAAGATTTATCACAATTTGCAAAATTTGTCGATCACTATAGACATAGTTTGCTGTGTATTGCCGTCAAATTTATTTCAGAAACAGACAAAATGATTGATGTGTTGAAAATGGTGCCAAAACTACAGGCTTTAAGACAATTAACTCTAAAGACATATTCTCTGAACAATCGTTCATTGATTGTGTCAAACAACTGGGCATTCAATGCAAACATTTACTAAGAGTTGACTTTTCCATACATTTTATGAATGCCATAGATTTTGAGAGAATATATGAAACGATGGCTTATATCAAAGGTCTAAGAAAATTAAGATTATGTGTCACCAAATCAATCGATTCCAATGAAAGTGGTGTTGAGTTGACACTCAAACCATTGTCTCATTTAAAACGTTTAAATCATTTGACACTAAGCTTCGAGTATTTCCTATTAAACGATACATTCCTCGACTCGTTTGACACATATTTGCCACGAATTCTGACGTTTAGTTTCTATGGATTTCCACAAATAAATACTAAAATTAAAAAGTCAATGAAAATGTGGACAAAATTAATCGATTTATCCACGAGTTATGAAATTTATATAATTCACTCAAAACTTTTCTATACTAGACCTCAAGGATTGTAAAGTTATATTCAATTTTATAGATAAGTAGATTTGCGATAAATGCTTTCAATAAAATTTTCATCATACAATTAGTTGTAATATTTTATTTATTGTAATTAATAATTACTAATTATTTAGCAAAACAATTTATATTATTGTATTATCAAATTCATTTCACACAATTCAAGACAATTTCCAAAATTATATTATATCATACTTTTAGTTAAATATTTTTAAAATTAACATATAATTAGCTATTGATATGCATATGAGTTGATAAAACTCATAGGAATTCATGGGAAATAAGTCGAGACAATAGAAACCGATGTCCGGACCCGACAGTCGGCTAACCATTGACTCGATTCTCAGTCTCTGTCTCAATGACAACGAATGTCTCCTCAATATTGAACACAACAATGGATAGCATTTGTGAGCGCTTTTCGATACCATCGCCAGCAATACATTGAGTCCTATAAGTGTTGACATCAAACAAAATGAGCATAATAAGGCTGCCCATTTTAGCAAGGTCTTTGTATCTTGATTTTGAATGGTGTATATAAATAATTGACACGAAGGGACGCAAATAAAATACAAAATAAAAATGATTTTCGAGAGACATGTATCCACTAAACGAGTGCTCCGTGCGATCGAGTAGTGGTCAACAA